GCTTCGCGACTCCCAACCGCCGATGACGGCGTTCTCTGGTGTCAAAAATTACAAGCTTGAAGTGGTAACGGGAAGCGATTTCCATCGCGTTTTTAATCGCTAAAACTCTTAAAAAATTTTATTGTTTATAGGAAAAATTACTTAAAATACCAATTAAAAATAATAATAATAATAATAATAATAATCCGTTTATTCCCGGAATTAAACCGTAATTTCGAATTAATTATCTAAAGAACGTTTTTGATGTGTCGTATACGCGACAAGTGCGACGATCGCCGGCGACGAGTAGGAGTCGCGCGGGAATATTTTTATTATCACCGTTTTTAGAACGTAAAAATTCGTGCCAAGAGATAGACGAATCGCTCGAGTTGATAATACTTTCTACGATATTAATATTTGGTGTTAAAATATTTATGTTTTATATTCGATTTAGAAAATAGACAAGGCGCGATGCGACGCGCGACTCGCTAATCTATCGCGCTACATCGAGGGTGGTCGGTATCGTACTTCTACCTTGAAAATTAAAAACAATTTTAAGGAAAATAAATGTATATACTGGTGTTTAAATTAAACGATATTGTATCGAAACAGATAAAGATAACACCCGCAACAAAAGCCTATTTTATATGTTTCAATAAGGAAGCACTTAGGCAATTAACTGAAGTGTCTCCATTGGAACCTTCTATACACATAAAGAAATTGGATCCTGATAAATTCGAGTGTATTCTTTCTTTAATTATCAAAATATATATATTCAGTTTTCACTTAATGACGTCAATATCTCAATTGGTTTCTAAAATTAGTAGAGAGATATTTAAATATTTCTGTCGTATTATCATTAGTGTGACATCATTTACTACTAATATACTGGATCTATAAAAGAACAGTTAAATAACACATAAAAAGATTGGTGCAGCATACCTTATATTGACTTTAGTGTGTGGGGGGGGACCTATCTATACCACACCAATTGGGGGGGTTCGTGTATAAAATGATGACGTAAATTCTGTAAATCCTTTATACTATTAATTTACAGCATAAAATTAAATCGGTATTCAATTCTAAATATTTAAAATGAAAAACAATTATTAAAATAATGTAAATAAAACAATAATTAGAATTTTTTCTTCTATTCCTAATTTCTGAGATTCAAATCATTTCTAAAATAAATTTGGTTACAGTGTCTGTAAAACATGTTTTACCACATCAAGTGTCCTATTATGATGAAGATATCTGTCAGTATAATTTGAAATGGAAATAATGGTGAGTCAAAACAATAATATTTGTTCTTCTCTTTTGAGTGAGTCAAAAAATAAGATAATCATTATATAAAAGATTTTATTTAACAAATAACAATTTCTACTAAAAATGTAACAATCTATTGTTAATAAAGAAAATATGCAAAATCCTATATTTTACACCAAGATGATAGTTATTTTCAATCAAAAGTTCAAACTTTTAAATTTCAAATTAATATGTTTATTAGTGAAAATCAAATACAATAATTTTTTATGAAAAATAAAGAGAAACGATTATACATTAGTTATAAGGATTATATTTTAATATAATCCTTACAAAGAGAAAAATACAGATACAAANAAATGAGGTAAAGAAAAATATTCAACATCATTTCTAATGACAGAAAAAAAAAGGCAATAGATACACATTTTACGAATATTTTTTCATACAAAAATTCTGAAAGTACCTTCGAGCTGATATACCTAAATACCTGAAAGTATCTTTCAGGTATTTAGGCATATCGGCTCAAAGGTACTTTCAGGTAAGGTATACCAACCTTACCTTGATAATAAGGTATTCAGGTATATCAGCTGAAAGTACTGTACCTTTCAGCTGATATATCTGAATACCTGAAAGTACCTGAAAATGGAGAAGGGGTGCATTTACATTTCTGAATTTTAAAATAAATATTTCCAACACAAAACACAATATTATTAATACACGCTAACACTCGAAATAGTTCTAAATGCCTCCGACAGGATCGCTTATCGACGTTTCCATTATCACATCCATTATTAGGTTAAACTATTTAAAAGGCATTTATAAGCGCAGAAAGCAATTGAATAAAGAAACTAGAAGATTGAAATAAGAAGTGGATAGACTTTTATTTCTTTCCATAATGGAAATTCGGAATTTCCATCTGGTAAATTTGTTATTCATTTTATAAATAAGAATGATTCTCTACTTTTCGTTTTAATATTTTAAATATTAATTCCATTAATTTTTTTTATTACTCATTAAATTATTCATCAATTTCTGAAAAAAAAAAACACTACATTTTTTATTTCTTTTTGAAATGCAAAAATAATCTCCAAAACGGCCGCCATTTTTTTTTATGTCTTCGTTCAAAGGTCTTGATTGTATTTCGCGATAACATAAATCTAATTTACAGTCGACCCCCGTATAACACTGTTGATTATTCCGTTTTATATGAATTCCATGTTGTACGAGTCACTTAGATTTTACAAATACGTGTTCAGGACTGTGAACGGCTCACGTATTTGTAAAATCTAAGTGACTCGTACAACATGGAATTCATATAAAACGGAATAATCAACAGTGTTATAGGGGGTCGACTGTATACTAATGAATATAAAATAATCATTTAGAATTATAAACAAATAAATAAACCAGAATTAAAACTTAAAATCACGTCTTATGACTCAATTAAACTAAACACTACAATCGACATTTTCAACGAAAACTTTTGGAAATAAATAAATAATCGAACCTTTTTTTAAGAAAAAAGGGGGAAAAAAAGATAAATAAAATGATAAAGTTTCCAGTTTTAAGTTTTAATCCGAGAAGGGTCAACATTACCAAAAAAAAAAAAAAAAAAAACGGTGCGTATATAGAGTTGGTACCAATTAAACAAAGCACAATCTGACTGATAACCATCGATTTTTAAATACAAAACGAATAATAAAGACTAAGATGGCATACACCTGTGTTAGGTGATCTTATTCCTAGAAGTTTTATACCTGCGAGGTATAATTCGGGTTTGTCTGGTACATCGATAATAAAGAGCAGGTGTCCGTTGATTAAACGTGATTTGAATAAGGTCGAGAGATTCGAATTAACTCTTCCAATAAAAAAAAGAAAAGAAAAGAACCAGTCGTCCATTTATCAAAACCGAAAAATGACATCTGCACGTAAGGAAATTTGTTTTATTTGATTAACACAGTTCTACTAACAGTTACAAGATTTTTACAACCTATTTAATTCCGTATCGTAATTTGAGACTTCTCTCAGATTCTACCGCCATCTGTTGTTAATAAAAACAAGTATTATTATTATTATTTTTTTTTATTTCCGTATTTTATTTTTTATTGCCTCTTTAATGTTTACGTGCCTTAATGCCTTAATTATCTTTTACCCCCTTTTTTTTCACGTGACTTTACGGTATTTTTACTTGACGGCTATCTTATCGCAGGTGTTCTACTCGGCTTGGCATTTATTTATTTATTTATTTGAATAAAAATTTCGATGTATTTTTAAGTAATTCGCTTATAGAAACTATCGTAATTACTAGCAGCACGTATATATACGAATATGAGGTATAATTACGTGCACGTGATGATAATGATGAACCAATAAAAATTGCGGTGAGATATATAAGAAAATTTCGTGAAATTCTAAACGGCATTTTAATTGGCTCCTTTATTCTGACGTAATTTATAAAGCGCGTGAATTAAATTATTGTGACGTCTTTATCGTATTTTTTCGACTAGAATTAAATTTAAAAAAAAATTAAAAAATTAATTTGTTTTAGAAATAAAATGGAATAAAATTAATTAATTTCGCCGAAAAGGTAAATTTATTTTATTTTATTTAAAAAAAAAAAAAAAATTAACTTTTCTCACGCCAGATGGTGCACTGTACAAGAGGAGGAAGAAGCCATATATAAAACTTTCAACGAGTCTTTACTTTAAGTAAATAATGGAAAATAAATTTAAAAAATAAAAAAAAAAAGAAAGAAACTCGAGTAAATAAAAATGGCATTTATGGCCCGGCGCAAACAAACAAATTTATTCGAAATGCGACGCGATGACGAGTTTAAAATGCGACGTTATCGTTATCTCGGGGTACGTGCGTTATTTTTATTTTGAATCTCGATTAAGCGGAACAAATTATAATTTTAAATGTAAGCTCCCCCCTCCCCGACATAAGAAGATGCTTTAAAACTTCCAGGTGAGCGAGCGAAATGTCTAGACTGAAAGGGAGGAAGCACCTGTGAAAAGGATTTAACGTTCGTAAACGAGTCTGCCCTCTAGACAGGTTGCGGGTAGTTTCATTTTGTAGTTTAGTTTTTTTTTTTCCTTCCCCCTTCTTCTTCTTTCGTTCTTCTTCTTCTTCTTTTCCCCTCTTTTGCGGCTTCCCCTAGTGTTTCTTCTTTCCCGGTCAAACAGGTGTGTCCAAAGAGGCAATAGATCATAAGTTTAGGATAAAGTGGAAGCTGCTCTTATTCATCAATTCTTTTAAAGTACGTTTACAAAAAAAAAGAAAAAAAATAGAAAAGTTAAATCAACTAATTCCTTTTTTTTCCCCTTAACATTCTTTCGATAACGCGCATTTATCTTATTAAAACAATTAAAAATGTAAGCGAAAAAAAAGGAAAGTTAAATCAACTAATTCCCTTTTTTCCCTAAACATTTATTCCCTGAAAATCCCTTTTTCCCTGAACATTTATTCCCTGAAAATCTGTTTTTACCTGAACATTTATTCCCTGAAAATCTCTTTTTACCTGAACATTTATTCCCTAAAAATCCCTTTTTCCCTGAACATTTATTCCCTGAAAATCTCTTTTTACCTGAACATTTATTCCCTAAAAATCCCTTTTTCCCTGAACATTTATTCCCTGAAAATCCCTTTTTTCCCTTAACATTCTTTAGATACGGCACGTTTATCTTATTAAAAAAAAAGTTAAGAATGGAAGCGAATCTTTAAGGATGGAATGTTTTATTTTGGCATCTCAGAATAAAAACACACGTGTTTATTACTTTTTTTATCGTATAAAAATTGCAAAAATACCATTAATTATTATTACTTTTTTTTTCCTTCATTTTCAAAGATAATCTATGGTAAAGTTTAAAGCTCGTTTGGTAAAACGTACGGTGACCTAAATACAAAGAATCTTATACTCTGAGACTTATATCAACACGTATGTATACACGTATATATACATGTGCTGTAGGATCTTATGCATTATAATCGATGAAATATAACCGCGCGTATATTATTAATTAGCAACGACTATAAATCCAGCCACATAAATAGTAAAAATAAATACAAATAACTTACACACTGGATTCGAAGTCAATAATTAAAAACAAAAAAACAAAAAAAAAATAAAGGAACGATTCATAAGTTACGAGTCGATTTCAAAGTCCTTTTCCTCGGCTCCTTTTAACAATTCGGCTCCTCTCAATTATATATTTATTTATTTATTTTCAAGAATATTGTGTTGCTTCCTTAATAAATAAATAAATAAATAAATACTTATAGAGTTTCCTCCATTTTTTTTTTCTCTGTGTAAATATTTCGCACACGTCACATACTTCGTTAGAAACTTCTCGTTTTTTTTTTTTTTTAAGAGGGAGGAAAACAAAACATGGAGCCACTTTTTAGAGTCATTTTGTGCACATTTTTATGCTTTTTTTTCCTTAGTTTTCTTCTCGTTTTTTTGATTTTCGATGTCTTTTTCGATTCTTGTGTCGTCTCCTGGACGCCCTTTGTCTTCGTATTATATTTTTGTCTATGTTGGGCCAGTTCTTTTTTGGCACGTTATATAATATTATATCTTTGGAAGGTTCGATAAAACGAAAAGAAAAATGCGTTATGTTCTGTTTCGCTTTCTTTCCACGTTTGGCTCTCCCCTTTTTAGTCAAACCTATTAGCCATTTTCGTTTCTTCCTTGTGTATTTATAAGACGAGTATACGTTGTAGTAACTGCTTAACATCTTCTCTTGAAAGTAACATTCCATTCCCATTACTTTCTGGAAAATAAAGAAAAAAAAATTATCAATTAATATAGTTTATTTTAATAAATTAATGGGATATATATATATTTTTTTTAAATGTAGGAAGAGAAATTAAAGTGAGGTAGACTGGTAAACTTCCGGAGAGTTCTTCGATTTGGAGGAAAATTCAATAAAAGGGAACTAAAAGTCAAGACGAGTCTTTAAATTCGGGTTAATGGCTAGAACCCGAGTTACATGTCTTTCCCTCCTCTTCATGCTCAATTTATTGAAAAGCCTGCAGATGTTTTATTTTATTATGAGTTTGATTCAATTCAAAAGTATATAATATATATATACTGTATGTATGCACGTGTGTGTACATTCTTCTGAAGCAGTCCATTCCCATTTTCTTTGATGAATGGCCTTTTCAGAAAATGGAAAATTGAATTTTGTCTTACGTTTTCGATATTAAGAAACCCGAATAGAAAAGTTACTTTCCCACGGAATACGATCTTTTATTTACAATTAATTCGAAATTGAACAAAGTCCATAGTGTAAGAATTTGTATCGGAGTGACCGCTTTTCATTAATATTCATAAGAATTAGGAAGCGACGTGGGCACACAAACACACACACACCTATCTGAAGTTCGGTTTGTTTGTCAAATGAAACCATTGACAAGTAAGGGGCCGGGGTTCAGAGCAATCGACCCAATATATCCTGTCTGCGCCGTTGTACTTGCCGCCCACAACCGGGGCAAAGGTGTATCAAAATATGTCACTTCGGAGGACTTTTCGAGAAAATCTATTAAGGTAACGTAAGATTCAAATGGGAGGGAATTCAACGTTACAGTATTAAAAAATATAATAGATTTAAACAATTAATACTTACAGAACCGTAAAGTTTTCCTTTTCTGCTCATGCACAGATACCTTTCGCTGACAATTCCTCGAATGGCTAAAATATTCATGGATAGTTTCATCATCTCTAACATAGCTGAAACAGAAAAATAAAACACATTATGCCCATTAGAGAGAGAGAAAAGTAAAGGTAAATTGATTAAATTGTCAAGCTTTTCGTTCCTTGTTTATCGTATTTTTTAAAAATAAAATACGGGAGCAATCGTTTATTAAGTTTCGAGATGCATACAGGAGACAAATAGGCCATAAATACTACAGAAATTCTTCTAAACAAACAATACTTTTCTCGTGTCGATAAAGCAGAGAGTCGAATGAAAATAATGTTGCCGGGGTTCATTCGATCGCTTGTTGTTTTTGAAGTTTAGAAACAAAGTTGAAGATAATATATAGGCCTATATATATATATATATATACATTTATTTATTTATAAATCTTATATAAACTCTATAGTTTACAATTATTGAAGGAGCGGCATTTAAATAATTTAATTACAAACTTTTTTTAAATAACAGGAGATATACACATAGAATATGTGCACTATTCATTGTTAAATTTATAGACGTTGGCGACATTTTTTTGGAATTTTAGGGATTTTTTCGTGTTTGGAGTTTTGTGATTATTTCATTTTAGGGATTTTTTAGTGTTTGGAGTTTCGGAATTATTTCATTTTAGGGATTTTTTAGTGTTTGGAATTTTGTGATTATTTCATTTTAGGGATTTTTTCGTGTTTGGAATTTTGTGATTATTTCATTTTAGGGATTTTTTCGTGTTTGGAATTTCGGAATTATTTCATTTTAGGGATTTTTTAGTGTTTGGAATTTTGTGATTATTTCATTTTAGGGATTTTTTCGTGTTTGGAATTTTGTGATTATTTCATTTTAGGGATTTTTTCGTGTTTGGAATTTTGTGATTATTTCATTTTAGGGATTTTTTCGTGTTTGGAATTTTGTGATTATTTCATTTTAGGGATTTTTTCGTGTTTGGAATTTTGTGATTATTTCATTTTAGGGATTTTTTCGTGTTTGGAATTTTGTGATTATTTCATTTTAGGGATTTTTTCGTGTTTGGAATTTCGGAATTATTTCATTTTAGGGATTTTTTCGTGTTTGGAGTTTCGGAATGATTTCATTTTAGGGATTTTTTCGTGTTTAGAGTTTTGGGATTCTTTCATTTTAGGGTTTTTCGTGTGGTCTAGCGCTACGAGTAAAAGTACTCGAGCCATTTAATCGCGAACACGCGTAGTACAATCCCGAAACGAGCGAACATTCGAATTGTTAAAAAATAAGGGAAAAAACCGAGGAAAAAAAAAAAGAACAAATTTCTCGGTATATTCACAGGTAATCTCCTTAATAGCAATATTGCCCGGTTAGAAAGTGCAGCCCGAGGACCCGCGCCATTTTTTTACGGAGTGCCACCTCGTAACTAAACTACTAATAAAAGTGGGGCGCCTCACGGCGGCGGGAAACGGAACTAAAGGGAATTGTCGTGCCGAAACGAAGAGGAGGGCGAGTTAAATAAAGAAGTAGCCGAAAAAACCTGTTAGACAAATATTTTGATTGTGGCCCCCGAGGTATCCCGATCCATCGGAAACGAGTCGGAGACCATCGCGTCCGAGATAGGCAGCCCCGCGGGTTCGAAACCTGAAGGATAGAGCTAATTGTTGCCACATTACCGCCATGCATATTTCCTCTTCTCTATTCCTCCTCTAAAGATAATATATTGTGCCGACCCCGGGGCTCGAGCTTTCGGGAAGGACGCATTAGGGCCTAAGATAGACAGAGAGAAACGACCTTCCCGGAACTTAAAACGGTCATCGGACGGAATCGATTGTCAACTGTTGTATCGGTGATTGATCTGGCCAAACTTTAGAATTATTGGCCATCGAATTTTGCCACTTTTCTCGTCCGTACGTTCGCCCGTCTGTCCGTATTTCCCGAAACACGCGCGTCAAAAAAAGTGTCGTGTCGCATCTTTCTCGTTTATTTAATTTTCTACAAAATTTCCCAACCGTCCGCGAAAAGAAGTGTTTTCAAGGAAGATAATTTACTTTCGGAAGAAGTTATTATCGGGGTCGGACGTTTACGAAATGGTATATTGTCTGACGTCACGTATATAACATCGTAAAACAAAAATGGGAGAAGGAGGAGGATGAGGAGGAGGAGGAGGAAGAGGAGGGGGGAAAGAAGTATTTAACCCGCGTGTTAGGAGACACGCGTAGGTAGATTTTAACGACGCCGTAGGTTTTAATATTATTAACGTTTCGCTTATTCATTAACTAAGTGCGACGTTGTAACACGAGGTAATCTTCGAAACAGGTTCGAATCGGCGCTTATTTTTAAAAAAAATCCGTCTAACGGTGATTAGAGTAAATCGAATGGTTTTGTGTTTTTCCTACTACGCGCGCGACTTGGCGACGTCGTAAGCGACGGAGCGACGGAGATCGTCTCTTCTTCTTCTTCTGCGCCCAATTTTTCCGCCGCCGAAAAAAGAAAGAAAGAGAAAAAAAAACCGAAACCACAGCGAGCGCGTGCGCGCGCGGGGAGGAAAATAGCTTTTAAAACGAGAGAAAAAGAGAGAGAAAGAGAGAGAGAGAGAGAGAGGCGACTCACCGTGTTTGCTGCGGATCTCGCGCGTGCCATTAATTTTCCCGTTATCCAGAATTTGCAAGTGGTATCCGGTCTGGCAGTAGAGCTGTCCGTACCTGGCGTTCCTCTCCTGCGCGCACGCAGTCACGCAGAAGAGGACCAACGTCGCCAATATGTGCATCTCGATTAAGTGACACCGTCAAGTCGGCTATGCCACAAACCGATCGAACGGGGCGAAAAGCGGTCAGCTAGCGGCCAACCAAGACACTAGGATTGGTCGACTGGAGTAAACTCCTCCCGCATTCGTGAGGTGTCTCTGCCGTCGTGTGCCTTTCCCGAAACTCTCACTATTAATGGTCGAGTTTCGATCCGGCGGACAGACTTTACCGTTTGCCTCGACCTTATCCCTTAATTTTGATGTATCGCAGAAGCTACGTCGACTGTCTCGTTACCATGGCTACCGAGAGACGACGGAAGGACGAACGTCTTCTACGATATGGAAATGCCTCCTCCCTTCTATTGTCATTTCTGCCAGATGACCCCTCGCCTTTCCTTACGCTTTACGGCCGCTTCGATTACTTTTAAAATGTAATAATTAAATAGCTTGGTGATGGCTTCCTGCGGTTTCCAGCATCCTTCGGATGGATCTTTTTTATAATTTGATTATTCTTAATAGTGTTCGAAGCGTTTTGCACGGAGTAGACTTGTGTGCATTGGTCGGGTCTTGACGCTGTTAACTTCTCGCAAATAATGGTAAAAACGGCGCGTCATGCTACTTCGACTTTTTTCGAACAAACGACAAAAACTGTTTCTTGGAAAACTAATGGGAAAATGTTCTAAATTATTTTTCCATGTCCGATTGTTTTTAACTTTATGTATCTTAAATGCATTCATCTCTACTAATGTTGGCTACTTTCTTCAACCTTTGCAGGCTACTTTCTTCTACCTATACGAACTACTTTCTTATACAGTACTAATGCAAGCTATTTTCTTCTACTTATGCAGGCTACTTCTAAAGTTACTTTCTTCTACTTATGCAAGCTACTTCTAAAGTTACTTTCTTCTACTTATGCAGGCTACTTCTACTTGTGCATGCTACTTCTACTTGTGCAGGATACTTCTACTTGTGCAGGCTACTTTTACTTGTGCAGGCTACTTCTATTTATGCAAGTTACTTTCTTCTACTTATACAGGCTACTTCTACTTGTGCAGGCTACTTCTACTTATGCAAGCTATTTTCTTCTATTTATGAAAGTTACTTTCTTCTACTTATACAGGCTACTTCTACTTGTGCAAGTTACTTCTACTTGTGCATGCTACTTCTACTTGTGCAGGATACTTCTACTTGTGCAGGCTACTTCTACTTGTGCAGGCTGCTTCTACTTGTGCAGGCTGCTTCTACTTGTGCAGGCTACTTCTATTTATGCAAGTTACTTTCTTCTACTTATACAGGCTACTTCTACTTGTGCAGGTTACTTCTACTTGTGCATGCTACTTCTACTTGTGCATGCTACTTCTACTAGTGCAGGCTACTTCTACTTATACAGGCTACTTCTACTTGTGCAGGCTACTTCTATTTATGCAAGTTACTTTCTTCTACTTATGTAAGCTACTTTCTTCTACCTATACAGTACAAATTGATTTCTTATACTAATGCAGGCTATTTCATCTACTTATTCAGGTTACTTTCTTCTACTAAATGCTTCTACTTATATTCTAATTCTACTAATCTCTACTTATGCAGTTCTCCTACTTCTATTAATTCGTCGAATATTCCGCACTATTTACAACTTTAAATAATATTCTTTGCAGTTTTACTCTTAAATTTTGATAGAGCATTTTTCAATCATCCCATAATTTAAACCACATTAAACCCGGCACTTAGGACAGCATATTTCCTAATTTTTTAGTATCTATTCTGCGTGTTAATTTAATAATAAAACGCTACAAATTCTCCATTAGAAAGGATACAGAACTTTCTGTTTATACATGTTGTAAATTATTAACCTATGTAAACGAAATTTTCGTTCTTAAAGCTCCAACAATGTGCTCGAAAACAATGAGTAAAACTTTCAACTGCCATCTCGTAAAAGACGTGTTATCAACATTCGAAAATTCTGTATAGCTTATATAATTGTATAAATTTGCATATTAAGGACTATTTACGTAACTTAATTGTGTTTAACTCAATTAAATCGATACATCTGGACCATAATTTAACCTCGTCTATACAAAATATAATGGAAGAAGAAAGGAAAATCCATTGGAAAGTTTCTAATCTTCACAATGGTTTTCCTTTCTTCCATTACATTTTGTAAGTAGAAAAAAAAGTATATTATTATTGTTATTTTTACAACTCATTAATTACAACAAAATTAATTCGATTATGTCTATTAGTCTAATAAGGTATAAAATTCGCTAATCAATTAAACTTCACCCTAATTGATTAAGTAATAACAACACATATGAGAAAAAGAAAAAAAAAAAAAAGATAAACACAATTAAATTTAATTAATGTTCTCCTTGCGCTAATAACAATTATTTATTCGAAATTAAAGGAGGGAGGGGAGGGGGTCGTTTAAAAAGGGAATTCAATTTAGCAACCCGGACAATTCGAACGTGTTAACGCATACGGAATTTAACTAAAACACACACCACTTAATTGCCGTGTCAAGCGAATTGATACTTGATTAAGACTTGGAGGAATTCGTTTGGTCGAGCCGATTTTATTTTTTCTTGTGTACTCTTTATACCTGTTGTGTTTACTTAGACATAAAAATAAAAAAAAAATAAAAAAAGAGTAGGAAACAAGTTGTTGAACTTTGTATATTTTATGCGAAGGAGTTAAAGGAAGCATTGAAGAGATTTAAGCTCGGAAGTGGGTGTTTGATCAATTGATAAAAGTAAAGACAGTCGTATTTCATTCATAGGAGAAAAACTACAAACGTGAGTCATAGATAAAATGTAAAACTTACTTTGCAAGTGTTTTAAAAAGGTAAATATCCTTTCCATTTTTTTTCTTTTTATTTATTTAAAAAGAAGAAGAAGAAGAAAAAAAAAAACAGAGAAAAACCAATTAAAGAATACGAAGTTCACAATTGTTAATCGTTTAACTCTTTGGTTTCGTTTGGCAAATTGTTTGAGAAATTTCGATCCCGTTTACAATTGCCGACTCGTACCCACTTTCAAAAGCAATACGGTCACTCGAGACCGCAGGTGTGCACACTCGTTTGCCGATTTCGTGATGTCGATGCTAGAAGGGGTTAAAGGTCAAACTTCTTCTCTTGTTTTTTTCCTTCTTTTTCTTCCAGCATCGTAAATGGTTAAAAAAAAAAAAAACACAACCCTTTCGTGTTGATTCTTTACCCGAGGCGTCCAGGTACGGACTTCGCAGTTTTTGGCATTTTTTTTTCTCTTAATTTTTGTGTTTTTTTGAGATTTTTGCAAACGATTTTCGCTCTTTAAACGTTACCATTTTTTTTACTGGAGTATTTAAACAGCGAGTATTAATTTAACAATGGCATGAATTTCACCCAAATTAAGTCTTTAAAGCGCATAACCTACGGGGTTTATGAGTTTGTACTACGTTACGAGGTGTGTTAGGTGTATTAGGAAGGTTCGTAATGCTTAGAATTATGCATGGGCATTAATTAGGGAAAAGGTTGGTGGAGACAAATAATTACATCAATAATTTTAGGGGCATTTTAGAAGTAGAAAATAGAATACGATATCGAAGGTTAGGTATCTCAATCCTAATATTACGATTATATATAATAATTTGTTGGATTTTTTTACTCCATTCCAGGGAGTGGCGAGTGTCCCGTTTCCTCCTCCTAACTCTGCTAGTATTAAATAATTGTAACTGAGAATGAGCAAAATGCTATTCGGTTATCTTGTGTTAGTATAGAACGTTCTGTAACATTTTATAAACACTTCTGTAAAAACAATAACTTGAATTTGCTCTAAACTCTTTTAATACCGACTGAAGCGTATTTTTAAATTCATTTTTCACGTATTAATTAGTTTACAATACTCATTTTTGCAGTCATCAAACCATAGATTGCTCTCCTGAATCTGAGATTTACAGGATCAAAGCATGGATCGCTCATTACAATCAAAGCTTTACAGGATCAAACCACAGATTGATCATTACAATCAGAGCTTTACAGGATCAAGCCACAGATTGATCATTACAATCAGAGCTTTACAGGATCAAACCACAGATTGATCACTACAATCAGAGCTTTACAGGATCAAATCACAGATTGATCATTACAATCAGAGCTTTACAGGATCAAACCATAGATTTCATTGATTATAAAAAGGTATTAGTCTGCAAATATAATAGGTATGAATAAAAAATCAGCCGCTTCTCATAAGCCGTTTAATAAACAATAAATTGAGCGCGCATATGCGCATTACAGAATTACATAAAAAAAATTTAAAAATCTGCGCACAAATTAAAATTACGCGCCGTATTTATTTAATTTTTTTTCATTTTAGAAGAACAGAATAGGAACCGAATGTTGGAGAACGTTCAGTTACGGGAATAGCCCGCGCCCAAAGGACACCTTTCAAATTTTTACGCCGGATCGATTCGATACGGCTTTGGGGCCAACACTATATTTCAGTCAATCAATCTGTCATTTTAATACATCAGTCGGTATGACGTCACACGTCGCTCCGTTGCCGCTAGACGGCGTCTTTATCGCAATATTTTATCTCGGTCGAGTAGACGAGGTCAACGGAGTTAAAAGGAGTTAATCTTATTAAAGTGGTCTCGTTAGCCGCAATTCGAATTTTAAGGGGAATTTTTTTTTTTTTTTTTTTTTTAACATTGGACGTCTCTGATCGTTACGTAACGTATCTTATAATGGCGTAGGCAATACTGGAGGCGAATTAAATAATTATTTCGTGTCAAAGAACTAATTTAACAATTAAATACTAACAAAAACGACCCAACGATTTCATCGTGTGTTATTGAAAGAATACATTTTCTCTTGTGTCGTATTAGGAGGACCGATTAAAGCTTTGTGTACTCGCTTACTGTACATTATAAACAATAATAAAATTATATTTTTTGGAATGAATAACGCCAGCAAATACTTCAATTGTTTTTGCAAATGGTTCAGCTGCACGCACCATTTGCAGTTTTGCACCAAATTTCTGATGTGCCCTTTTCCTCCGTGCCCTAAACCACCCATTTATTTTGCCTAATGGTTAATAATCATTAGACAAAATAATTACATTTGATGTAATTTATTTAAATATGTAATATGTATTTAAAAGAAAAGTTACTGATGCATTGTATATATATTTAAGAAGCTAAGAAGTTAAACGTGTAGAGAGGTTAATAAAATCGTGTTTTAACATAAACACATGTTTTTAAGCAAACATTTTGTTACATTTAGATGTTCAAGTTCTCAGAAACCTGCCAAGCGATCTGATGGAAATTTAGCACACATGTTAATGATACATTTACCGAATGATACAGTTTCCCTCCCCTTTAATATTTATCTATCACACGTTTTGCTTATTTTCTAACGTGTATTTTCTTTTTTTTTTACATTGAATTTTCCATAAAATACACTCATTTTAAATACACTCAAAACGATCGATTCTAAAGATATAGGCCTATAAACATTACAAAATGGTAATAAATTAAAGGGTAATAAATAAACAAACTATTCGAAAATTATATATTTTTCTTTTCGTTTTTATTTTCTTTAATATTTGATATCATCAATCACAAAACATGTGTTTGTACTTAATTTATGGCGGATAGTTTTTATGCAAACATATTTAAATTGTATAAATTGTAA